CTCTCTCTCTCTCTCTCTCTCTCTCTCTCTCTCTCTCTTCTTTTTTTTTTTTTTCCTTTTTGAAATGGAAATACTTTTCTCGGATATTATAAATTGGGGCTTTTCTCACATTGCATGACCGACTCCGAATTTGATCACACCTTCCACGCAAATAGAATGTTAGATTTTAGAAGCTTTTGCCCTTTAAAGACGTTTGCGTGTTGTCCTTTCTCTCTCATCTACTTTGACCACATTTCATTGAACCAAAGACAAAGACGCGTCCATTTCCATGTCATGCAACTTCAACTACCACCTTTTCCTTCCAAGAAATGCACCATATGCGCATATATATATATATATATATATGTAAAGTCTTTGAATCGCACTTACTATTTGTTGCAAAAATGTTAAATTATAAGAAACAATAATATATATTAATTGTCGAAACATGTATTTTTTATAGTAATTAAGTGAACACATAGCCTATTTATATGTATATTAGTTGATTTATTGTATTTGATGTTATTAAACGTGAGTGACAATATATATTAATTTTGAAAACATGTATTTTTAATAGCACTGAACACATAACCTATTAATATGTATGTTGGTTGATTTGTTGTATTTCATATTATTGAATGTCATTTGGAAGTTTTTTTTTATTTTTTATGTTCTGATGTAGGAAACGATAAAGTATAAAAACATGTATTTCTTATTTAAATTAAGTGAATATATAAATAGTAATGTGTCTAACATATATCGTTAAGTTAGAAAAAAAAAAAAAAAAAAAAAAAACTCATTTCTCTACTAAGGAAAGAAGGGAATAGATTTGTATTGAAAAATTACCAAAAAAAAAGAGCTGAAATCTACATGTATCTGATATTGTGCGACTTAATAAACTGTACTGTCCCACGAATCTCGACAACTTGATTTTAATCGAAAACTCCAGCCCCGCAGTGATGATAGAGAGTGACATAAATATGTAGTAGTCAACAAGCAAATCATGCAAATCCATCAAGAGCGTCACCATGGCCATGGGTCATTATCTAAAATCATTATAACAAAGCAGGAAATTTGTGCACGGCGGAACTCATTTTGCCCACATCTTTGGGGTTACTGATCACTATTGTACTAATTAATATGTTGGTTTTGTGATATAATTAACAGAAAAGACAAGTCTTAATTACGTTTTTTTTTTTTTTTGGATTTCATTTACTTATATCATTATAAATGCAGAGAATCCTTCCCCAGTTCCCCCTCCAGCCCTTTTCTGAAGATTGACGTGCTAAGCAACAGAGTTCATTACTTTAAATAGACGACACGCCATTTTTTTTTTTTTTTTGTAATATCTGTCCCCTGAATTTTAAAACTATTATAAACTTTTTCCTTCTGTTCGAATATTAACAGAAAATGACACATCACATTCGTTCAAAGTATGATTTGGGATTTGAAAGTGAAATTACGACGTTACCCCTAAATTAGGTTATGCAATTATGTTGACGTTTTTGGTTTTTTTTTTGAAAGGGAAGTTGTCGTTTTTTTCCCAATACCTCTAAACTTAAGTATATGAGCGTAAATAAACCATTCAAAGGTTCTTTATAAGTAATTAAATGACCATGGCTTTATGAAATTAGTGGCCGGTTTTACTAATTAAAAGAGTTGGAAAGGCAAAAATTATTCCCATTCTTCCACATTCAGCAGCCACACCAACAGCAGAGAAATTTCTTTCTCATCGTGCTCATTCGTCGGAAGCATCTCGCCGGAATCGTCGTTTCTCAACCTTCATATT